GCGAGTGGGCAAAGGATTGCTAGTTACGTGGTGAACCAGGAATCAAGCAGGAGAGAAGAAACTCAGTCACACACTCGCATGTTTGACGGTTTTGTCCTATTGTCAATTATTGCTTGGGCCTTGGGGCTGAGGTTGTGACGCCGAAAAATTCACATGCCACTAGTTAGTTGTTGCTGCCCAGTTGTGCTCTCATCTCAACGTTTCTAGAGCTCTCTCATCACAACCAGTTCGAGTGGCTTCTAGTAGGCAGTAGCGGAAGCAGCAGAACCAGAATTAAACGTGTAGGATATATATTTGATCATGCATAAAAATTGAAAATATATTGTATGGTTTGGAGGCCTCCAATAATGGGTGCTGTCTCCTTCATTGGGTCTTGAACGTCTGGTGCACTTTATTCAATAGTTGGTATTTTTAAATTGTAAAATATCAACCGTTAAATAGAGGGACTAGTATTCATTAAAGAGTCTTTTGCACTTTCTTTGTAGGAAAGGATATGCTAGAACAGCAACACACTGTAATTGTACCTTTAAACTGGAGGACCCTGAATGGAGCAACCCAGCATGACCAACGAATACACCTCTAAAATCGGTGCAAACTGTGTTATGAACCACTAAAATTTATTATAGTTATATAAATTACCAAATTTTTGTTTAAATTTAGTTATTAAGAATATATTGCTGATAACTGAAAATTATAAATAAAAATTATATATAAAAGTTGTCAACATATTATTTTCTCAAGATTTTCTTATGTGGCATGTTAATTATAAAGAGAAGCTTTTTTTTTTTTTTTTTCAAAGCAATGATGTGGAAATTCTACATATAGAAATTGATGACGCCCACAAAATTTGTTATCAAGATTTGGTTCAGTACGTTGTAAAATTGTCATTATAACTGCTAATCTAACTTCATTTGTAATAATTAAATTACATCCTCTTCTTTCCATTGATCTTCGTCTTCTCCAGCATCAATTTCCACTTTTTCAATCCTCACCCCCATCAGAGTCCTTGAATCCTCTATTGATTACCATTTTCTCCTCTGATCTCCAGCTCCTTTATCCTCTGTCGAGCAGATCCTAGTACACCTTATTGAAAAATACCTGCCTTTTTTTATGTTAAGATGTGAATACAATTATTTAGATTATATTCATAATTATTGTAAATATTTTATAATTGTAAATATTTTATACTTTAAAATATTCTCTTTGTATAGTTTATACTTTATAATAATTTTTTTGTAAATACCTACATATAAGTCATTGTACATACAATATTATTTAAGAAAACAATAAACATTTCTTTAAAT